TAGCCCTGTGCCCGCAGCCCAGGTTCTAGGAAAGCCTGTCACTGCCAGGCAGGAGGCCCCCAAACATTCCTCCCTCAGTGGCACCTTTCAGAGGCCCTCAGCTTTTCCTGGCTCCTGGCCCAGAGTTCTTCATATCCTCTGACTCACTTCCTCCAGCCAGAACTTGAACCTTTTCTCCCTCGCCCTCCCACAGGTTTAATCCTTTACCAAACCCTGTTGATTCCACCTCCTGAAAGCACAGGGCTCAAGTCAGGCAGACCTGGATCCTGGTTCTGCCACTCACCATCAGTGTAACCTTGGGCGATTGCTGTCATCTCTGATTGCCACAAGAGATGACAGCAAGAAAGTTTGACTCAGTCATTTATTAATTGTTTGACCTTGAGATTCCTTAACCTCTCTGAACCCCCGTTTCCTATTTATAAAACAGAGATAATAACAGTTCTTACATTTTAAGATTGCTGTAAGGGTTAAATGAGGTAATAATGTGTCGAGCCTGGTACTTAGAAGGTGTCACAGATTACCAAGTGTGTAATTTGGGGCAAGTTTTTAAAAAACACTCTAAGCCTCAGTTTCCCCAACTACACCTCAGGGTTGTCTTATTAAAGGAATTAATCCATGTAGGGTTCCTAGCCATGCACCCAGTCCGTAGAAAGAATTCAAGAATATCAGTTGTTCTGAATCTTATCCTCCTAGTTATCCTGTTGCCTGCACTCCTCTGGACAGGGAAAGCCCCCTCTTCCACCAGTGAGTGTCGCTACCTCCTACCTACCCATCCCCACTGTGCCTGTGTGGCTGTCTAGTGGGAAGTTCTCCTTTCCTCTCCAGTCCCCTATTGTAAAATGGAGACCTGACTTCACCATTTTGACCTGTCAAGGGCCTGGTGTTGGTTCCTGCGTTTTGATTTAACCCCAACTGGCAAGGCTTGTAGCAACTTTCATGGAAGTGCACAAACCAAGGTATAGAACCTCGGTTGACTCTTAGTCTTCTCATCCATAAGTGGGGCTACTAATTGTGCCCATCTCTAGGATTATGATTATAGTGCCATACGAAATGATGGGTGGAACATGGGTAGTGAGTGCCTAGCAGAGTGTGTTGTAGCTACCACTTAGAGAGCACTCACTCCCTGTCAGGTTTCTGGGTTTGAGCATTTACACGGAGGTTGCTACAAGCTTTGCCTGTTGTGGGTAAACAAAAAACACGGGAACCAATACCAGGTTTCTGACAGGTCAAAACTGTGAACTCAGGTCACCTAACAACCTTGTCTGGGAGGAGGATTGACCACCATATTATAGCAGGAGGCTGGAAAGGAAAAGAGACATCATGTCTGCCCTCTAGTAGTCACACAGGTACAGTTTCAGGGAGGGGGTGAGAGATGGGGGTTGATCACACCCACTGGGTTGAGTGAGGAGATTTCTGTGCCCAGAGGCAGAGAAGAACAGGCAAGTACTCTACTGAGCATGTCCTGTGTGAGGTAGAGATGTGCTATAATAAAGAACTACTGAGGTTGTAGTGAAAGGGTTAAGAGCAGAGGGTCACTCCCCTGACTCCTGAAGGGAGTGGGGCTATGAGTAGAGCCAGCATGTGACAGATATAGAATCTAAACCCAGGTATACCTACTTCCAAAGCCCATGCTATTAATTATTACAACATTAATGACTGACACATAGTAAGTGCTCAATAAACATTTGCTTAATGAAGGAATACTTACTGCTGCCTCTTTCTGGAAAGTTTTCCTCTCCATTTCTACCCATGGTCCAGCTCAAATGCAGCCTCTCCCTAATAGATGTGCCCTCCTGCTGTTGCTCTGGGGTGGGGGAAACAGGAGGAAGTCAGTGCTGGAATGAGGAAGTACTAGGGGCACTAGGATGGGACAGTGGGATGGAGCTGGAGGGAGGACTCTGAGTTTTGCACAGAGATTTTTCTCCTGAGTTTGGCACTGAAGTTGAAATTGGTACAAGGACTGAATACACCCATTACAACGTAACTCACACTGGGCTCTGATTAGTCAGAACAGCAAATTCCAATCACTTAGCAACCATGTATGGGGAGTAGGACCGGAAGCCATTTCAGGACAGAGGACTGGGAGGAAGTGAGACAAAATGTCTGCCCAGTAAGCAACAGCACATGTGCAGTAGGGGGTGGAGTGTGGGAAGTGAGGAGAGCTCGTTCCTAGTAAAGAATGACTGCTCCAAGGGTTTTAGGGCCTTTAAATCCCTGGGGATTTAGGGATTTGTAATTCTATGCTATATAATACCTTAAAACCAAGGATATTGGGATTCCAAGGATTTTAAATCCCTATAACGTATGGATAAGGATTTGAGCAATTTCTGAGCTATGAAATGCTGGGAACGTAGGACCCAAAACAAGGACTTAAAACACAGCATTGGACATACTAAAGTACTAATTAATTCCCCTCCGACTTCAAATCAATCCTGGTTTAACCCTTGGTACAGTGATTTCCAAATTGTCTTTCCCATCATCTAGGGGGTCCCTGAAGTTACCTCCCAGAATGTGGCACAGAGACTTCGTTTAGAAAGCGAGAACACCTAAGTAGGAGTTCTGGGCCCTGCATTGTGGCATTCACCAAGGCAGCTCCAATTTTATTTGATTTATATATTGGGCTTCTGCATTCAATTCAAAAGAAAGGTTTTCCTGCTAAAGCACACACCAAAAAAAGTTTAAAAACCTCTATCCTAGGGAATAGGGACCTGAAACCTGTGGGCTACCATTTGAATGTAAAGAGTGCTCCAGGAAGCCAAACTTGGCCACACGGGTTATTTTGTTTGGCTTGTTGTTGCTGTTGTTGTTGTTTTTAATGAAACACTGTAAAGATCCTATGACTGGGAAGCCATCAAATAGTGCCAGAGAGATCAAGTGTAGTTGACTGATAAGTCAGTCGTTAGCTGACTCTAGCCTATAAGCTCATTTCTGTCATAAAATTAATAATAGCAGCTACTATGACCACTACCATTTATTGAGTGCTTTTACTATGTGCCAGGGGCTGTGCTAAGCATTTTACATATATTATCTCATTGAATTCGCAAAACAACCCTAAAAGGAAGTATCATTATCTCCATTTTACAGATGAGGAGACTGAGGCTCAGAGTGGATTAATAACTTGCCTAAGGTCGTATGGCTAGGACATGGTAGATTCCACTTTACTTACAAGCAGAAATAGAATAGACTAAAAGATTTAAAGTTGTCAAAGGTCAACTGTTGGGCAGCCTTAATTAAGGAACAAGGTCAAATTTTGACCAACAGATGGCACCAGTGAGTTCAGTGGCCTGCTCAGGGCTGTGTCCAATTCAGGGAAGTCCCAGCTAGGGCTCAGAACTGAAGCAGCCTGTGGCAAGCTACTGGAGGAGAGAAAGGAAGATGGCCATCATTTTGCTCCTGAATAAAATGATGTAATTCTGTCCTCTTTGTAGCTGGCAGGTTGGGGAGTCATGGTGGCTCTATCAAGAGCTGCTTTAAGAAGACCTAAGAATCTCTTTTCCTTCAACATTTTCTGAGCATCACCTTTGTGCCAGGCAGTGTGCTGTGCCATGAAGTCATGGAAATATCAAACACAGCCTCATCTTACAGTACAGGAAGGGAATCAGGTGCTATGGGGGAACACTGGATTCATCGGAGAGCCCATTCTGAACTTGGAAGTCTGGGGAGGCTTCCCATAGAAGGGATATCTGAGCTAGTTCTTTTGGATGGATGGAAGTTTACCAGGCATGCAAAAGTAGAAAGGCATTCCAGGTAGATTTAAAAACCCAGAGGTCAGCCAGGCGCAGTGGCTCAAGCCTGTAATACCAGCACTTTGGGAGGCCAAGGTGAGGGAATCGTCTGAGCCCATGGGTTCAAGAACAGCCTGGGCAGCTTGGCGAGACCTCATCTCTACAATATATAAATAAAAATTAGCCAGGCGTGGTAGCGCATGCCTGTAGTTCTGGCTACTTGGAAGACTGAGGCAGAAGGATCGCCTGAGCCCAGCAGGTTGAGGCTGCGGTAGCCGTGAGCATGCCACTGCACTCCAGCCTGGACAACGGGGTGAGACTCCAACTCAAAACAAAACAAAACAAAAAACCCCCAGAGGTGTTAGAAAGCACACCACACTCAAGAATGGGCATGTAAGTAAGTTTCAGGTGCTGAAAGATGAGACTAAAGAGACAGGCTAAAACCAGACAGTTAGAAGGAGGCCTAGAACATCAACATCAAGTTAACAAGTTAAGGACTTGATTTGTGAATATATAGCACTGTGTGTGTGTGTGTGTGTGTGTGTGTGTGTGTGTGTGTGTGTGTGTGTTCACATGTATTTTTCTGGGTAGAGAAGCCATAGATTCTCAAGGACACCTGTGACCAAAAAAATAAAATAAATAAAAAGATAAGTCCAACTATTGGTGAGGCACGGGCTGACATGGTCTGATCTGTGGTTGAAGTGGAGGATGCATGCAAAGGGACATGCTGGAGGCAAGAAAATTCATTGAGGAGTAATTGGTGCAGGGGTAAGCATGTGGATATGAGCTGTGGGAGATAGAAAGGGCCTTGAGTAGATAAAATGGAAAGGATTAAGTACTTCCCCTCCCACATTCACAGAGTCCTCTCTGAGGCTCACATGAGGCTGTACCTGTCACTTTTCCCCCAACCCTCATTCCTCCTCCCAACTTTCAAGCTGCCCTTTGAGGGCCTTTTGTTTTCTTTCCAAGTTGTCCTTGAAGTTCAATCAAGTCTAATTTCACAAGATGATGGAGGTGGCCTGGCCCCGTGCTGGGTCCCCAGCCCTATAGCCCCATGGAAAATAAATCTGTCAACTGACCTCAGGTAAAGCAATAAATTGGCCTTGAGCTGGTCTCTGACCTTCTGCTCATGGCTTCACAACATGGGCAGAGTTCAGTTAAGAAATCAGCACAGTTCCAAGAAAAAGGCAAACATCATCCAGTTTATTTTTCTCCTGATTCATCTCATGCCAACACATAGACTTCAATGGATAGTAGGTAAAATGGGGGGGTATACCCAGAGCAAGCTGATTCTCTAGACTCCCCCTTTCCTGCCTGCACGGCTCATCAGAAAGGAGCCCCAGCTTTGTTTGAATCTGATAGTAGCATCCCTGGAGTTGAAGCCAGAAGCCAGGCTTTCCATGAGGAGATGGGACTACGTGGCCACCCAGGAAAGCTTGCGAGTCAAAGGGCCCTGAAGAGTGACTGCTTCCCTCTCCAACGGCATGCCTTGTCCTGCTCTGCTTCCTGGGAACTTCAGAAAGCAGACTTTTCTTCCTTTCAAGCTCCTGGGACACTCCCAGGGTCAACACAACAGCAGTCCAGACAATGAGAAGCCAGGGGCCTGGGCTCACAGTCCTGTCAGGTAAGCCAGGATGAGCTGGGCAGCTTGAGGACCCAATTTTCAGTCCAGAAAGCTGTGACTGGAGACTCCCAACTAATCGTTGCTCGTGGAAACTTGCCAGGCATACTGAACCCCAGTCAGACTCTGGCTGCTTCAGTTTGGACAGGTCAGGGGCAGGGTAAGGGGACGAGCTGTGACTCTGTGTGGTGTGGACCCTGGTACCCTCACACACCCTTCTGGCACCTTTTCATCTGCCTCCTCTTTCTCCTCCACTTCTTCATCTTCCTCTTCTTCTTCATCTTCCTCTTCATCCTCACTGTCTGAGTCCTCATACAAGTTGATGGTTGCCTGGACAGGGAAGTTCTGCAGTAAAATCTCCCCAGCACTGTACAGGTAGTCAAAGGAGCGAGATTTAGGCCAGAAGAGCCTGTGGACAGAGAAGAAACATGGTCCCTAACTTAGGCCTTATATGTGCAGAAGGGTCAGTAGGACCAAGGAGGAAGCCAGCCCCTAAATAGCCTTTCTCTTAGCTATAGCAATGGGGTCAAAGGGAAAAAAAGAGTTTTGCAACAGAACCTTCTGAATTGTTACAACATGGCCCCAGGTAGGAAGGTAACCTTCCTGGGTCTACAGACCTATAGTGGTGATAGCCCCAGCCCCAGCATCTATCAGTTTTAGCCCTGACCCCACCCCCAACCCCACCCACCCCAGTAGGCTTCTAGCCAAGAATTCTCCAGCCCTGTGGCCCTATCTCTTCTACTACTGAGTATTCCTTGACTGAGCTCCACAGGGGCTCATTGGGGGGGGTCATTGACAATGCCACCAAGGAAGGCAACCTTGCCAAGTCCCATAACCTCTCTGGGCTTTGGTTTCCTCCTCTAGGCAACAGTGATCACAGCAGGGCTTCCCTTCTCCTACTTCACAAGACTGTGTGAGGATTCAAAATGCTAATAAGGGCATTGTGTGGTGGCTCACGCCTATAATCCCAGCACTTTGGGAGGCCATGAGGCCAGAGGATCACTTGAGGCCAGGAGTTCAAGGCCAGCCTGGGAAACAAAGTAAGACTCCATCCCTACAAAAATAAAATATAATAAAATTAGCTGGGTGTGGTGGCACACACCTGTAGTCCCAGATACTCAGGGAGGCTAAGACAGGAATATCACTTGAGGCCAGGAGTTTGAGGCTACAGTGAACCTATGATCACACCACTGCACTCCATCCTGGGTGACAGAGAAAGACCTTGTCTCAAAAAAAAAAAAAAAGCTAAGGGATCCATGGCAAGTTTGGACCTTGGTGCCAGAAGCTTACCTGACGGGGTGATGGAACTCAGAGTTAACTTTGGTGACCTCAGCAGCTGCTGCCCCACCAGTGGCCTGTCCAAAGCAAAAAGCTAGCATGTGGCTCAAAGTTCATGGACAGATAACTGCCTCCTCCATATCAGAGGTCAGAAATCTGCAGGTAAGATGATCTAGAAGACACCTGAGACATCTCTGGAGTCCAGCCACCCCCGATGCCCACCCCAAAACAAGAGGGTCTTTCTGGTTCTGGTTGAAAAACAAGCAGACAGAGTCCTGGGGGTTGTTTGCTTCCCTGCCCCTGTTCCAACACCTTTGGACACCGTCCAGAGGACAGAGTTCTATTGGAGCAGCAAAGATTCAGGGAGGAGGTGGAAGGACATTGGAGTGCATGCCAGGAGATGGGGACTGGAGCACTAGGCGCTGCCACACATTGGGCGTGGGGCCTGCCCAAATCCTTTTCCCACTCTGAGCCTTAGTCTCCTCATCTTTCCAATTGCCCCAGAAACCTTGGCTCTGCCCTCCTCCCAGAGCTGTTGTGGGACTCGAATGTTAGTAAAGCTGTAAGGACCTTTTATCAGATCTGCAGCCCTGAGCTGAGGTCAGGAGCTCTCTGGGAAGGGACGTGCTCAGCATGAATGCATGTGGCTGCATGTGCATGTGAACATGCGTCACATGGGCTCAAACTCACCAAATCCACCAGCTCTCTCACCTGCCTTCGGGAGTCATCTGTAGAGGACAGCCAGGGCCTCCAAAGACAAGCTCCTCTAGGACAAAGAGGAGAGATCAATCGGTGGATGAGGAGACTGAAATGTGGGCTTTCTGAGAAAAGAGGTCTCTCAAATGCTTGGCCTGGGTGCTACCTGCTCCAGGAAACCTTCCAGAAGGCCCCTGAGCCCTGGCCAGGACAGATGCCCCTCCTCTCTTGCTCCAGCAATATTATCATTGCTCTTATCACAGTTTTGTAATTGTCTGTTTACTTGTCTTTGGGCTTCTTAAGCTCAAAGATATGTCAGATCATATCTGAATCCCTAACACCTAGCACAATGCCTCGTACACAGTAGCTGTTTCAAGAAATGTTTGTTGAAGTTTAAGGGAGTTGAGTGAATAAATATCTTGCCTCATACCTCCTGCTCCAAGAAGTAAAACTCAGAGTCAAACCATCTTCCAGGGCTGGGGAAAGAGCCAGCAATATTCCTGGGCCCACTCCTCCCTCCTGCCTCAAACTTGTACAGGTAGGAAAAAAGCAAATGAGAATCTTATGGTGTGATCGGAAGAAAGTGCCACAAGCAAGGTCCTCTTTAGACTTGGATCCTCTTTTCCCACACCCTCTCCCCCACAGTCTAGGTTGTGTTAAGCCCAGATTCCATGGTAGTCTCCCTGTGCCCTTCAGTGTACTCTGTGACCTGGCCCATTAGGGCCTGTCTGCTTGGCCTCCAGCTTTGGCATGGCCCACTATCTCCATGTCCCCTCCTGCCACTAATCCCAGAGGGATTAGTGAGGTGAAAAGCCAGATGAGATATTTCAGCCAGAGATGTGAAGAAAGGGCTCTGAGGCCATTGCTTTTCTGCCTTCACAGAGAACAGGGCTGCCCTGAATCTCTCATTTTCCCTCCTCTCCCAGGAGCCCCTCACCTGAATTCAGGTTGCCAAAGGCCAAGTTCCACTTACCTTTCATGCCCATCTACTTCTTGTCCAGAGGAGAGAAGGGGCGGCGGACCTATCAGGCCAGGGAGTGCCAGGGGGACTGGTGCTAGGGCTGGAGCAAGGGCCAGCGCCAGATCTGGGACAGGAGTGGCAGCAGGGTGAGCAGCAGAGTCCATCCTTAGGGTGCCAAGGCCAGGCAGGCTGCAGTCTCCTATTTTCCAGAAACTTTTGTACTCTTTTGGCCTTTCCTGGGAGACCCTTTTATAAGCCCTGCCTGGTCTCATAAATGATTCAGGGAGTGCAGGGGTGGGAGGACTTGGGAGGGGATGAAGATTTAGGGAAAGGGCTCAGGGAGGGAAAGCAGAGTTCCTGGGTGTGAAATCTCTCCCAGTTGAATAAACAGGGTGTCAGTGGGGGGTAAGGGGTTTGCTTTACCTCTGTCAGAAGAGAAAACACAGAAGGGGCAAATTGCACACCATTTGTGTGAATTCCCCAGGCAGCAGCAAGGCCTGAGGGGGGAAGGAGGGTAGTCATTAGCACCCGAAACCACAGAGTTGTCAGCCACAGAGAGCTGGATAGATAGACCTTTAGCAAAGCCAGTTCCCCCACAAGAAGAAACAGCCGAGCCCTCTAAGCGGGGTGAGGGACTCACATGTTGTTTCAGCTCAAACTCCAAGTAGATTTGCCAGGTGGACCTAAGAGAGGGTGACTGCTATTAAGCACATCATCTGGGTTAGGCAAAAAAGAGGTTCTGGGTTGCCTGTGAGGTAAACGTCATCTTCTTTCAATGCCCCAACCCCTTACTTCTGTTCATTGGCAAAAGTGCCCTCTCCAGCCTCAGCAGCAAGGGGTTCAGTGAAGGGGAGCAGACAAGATTTCACAGGGCCTCGGGGCAGATTCCAAACCTCAGAGCTCAGCTTCCAGTTCAGGAACCAGAGTGCTTGGGAAACACAGTTTTGCCTTGCGAAGTTGCTTTAGGGTCATCCCTTGCCCCAGGCCTTAGTTCCCTCATGTAAGAGATGAGGTTGTCGGTCCAGTGGTCCCAAAGGGCCAGACAGCCTGAACACTCTGTGACAGGGGCTGGGTACATGGGTACTGACCCCAGGCAAGCCCAGAGGCTCGAAGCACTGACCTCAGCCTTAGTTAGTCTCCTGGGCCTTTGCCAAAAAGCTTCTAGTTACAACTACTGGCAGACACCTTATGATCTAGAGGTCTCAAAAATATTCCTCCTGACCTCAGTGTCCAGCACCAGCACAGATTTAGCTTCTTGGATATTCATCAGAGCCTGGTTTGTAATCATCAAAAATTAGAAACAACCTCAAATCCCATAATAGGTAACCGGATACAGTAATTAGGGTAAATCCTTGCAACCGAATCCTGAGCAGGTACTCACAACCATGTTCTAGGAAGTATAATTTTTTCAACAGAGAAAGTGAAAAAAAGTCAGATGCCCAAATAACATGACTAATCTGATTTAAGGACTCTTCGTCTCTGTCCACCTTCCCCTGACACCTCCATCCCACTCCAAATTCCAACCCCCTGTGTTCTTTGTAGCAAAGAAAAATTGAAAACAACCTTAATGTCTCACTTTTAAAAACTGGTTAGATAAATCCTTGAGCAGTTACACAATTTCATATTAAAATTGGCATGGTGAAAGAACGAGGGAAAAGTTAATATACCGATGAGTGGAAGCAATCAGCCTCTAAAATATTTCTTAGGATGATCCCATTTTGGTAAGAAAAAAGTGTAGAATGTACAGTATGTAGAGAAAAAAAGACTGGTGAGAAGAAAGAATTTTACAGTTGTCATCTCTCGAGTAAGAGTTGGGTGGATTTTTACTTCTTTATGCTTTTCTGAGTTTTCTAAAATGTAGCACAATGAACTGATGTTATTTGAGTATTAAAAAACATAGACATAAAAAGAAACAAAGAAAGAAGTGCTTATCTACGGAGGAAAGAAAACTCTTGGGAAAATGCTAGCCATTTTCAAATATCTGAGGATTAGCCTGCAGTGAGATTACACTTGTTCTGGGTGACTTCAAAGGGCAGGGCTGGAAGCTACAGGGAGACACATTTTGGCTCAATCAAAGGAAAACTTTCTAACAGCTCAGCCACCACCTAACACAAGGGCCTGGCGCGGCACTGGCCCTTAATAAACAGAGGTTTATTATATGAAGTGAAATGAGTCCAGTGGAATGTGCTGCCTTGGACTGGAGTGAGCTCTCTGTCCCTGAAATGTGTAAGTGCAGGCTGGCTCCTGGATCCTGAAGAGGAAAATCTTGTGTGGAAAGAGAAGGTTTCTGGGGAGCCTGAGCTTCTATCAGTCTTTGAGAGTTCTTGCTCAATTTGCCTTTGGGAGATGAGAATTTGCTTGTGCTGTATCACTGGCTAAAATGAAGAGTGAGCCTGAGAGAAGAAGCCAGGCTGGAGAGACTGAGCTGGAAGGAGATGGCATGCCAAGGGAAAGAAGTACAAGACCTGTTGTCACATTCCAGGATCTTTTTGACCTCTAGGTGGCCTCTGAGAATAGGCAGGAGGAAGGAGGAAGTGGAGAAGAGGCAGACATTCCTCCTGAGCCCAGGTCTAATGCCCAACCAGATTCAGCCATGCAACCATCATGCCACCTCCCACCTTGAACTTGTGTTCCTTCAGTCACTCGCTTCACATTGGGAGCTGTCCAGTCCCTCCGTCCCCCTGAGTGGCAGACCTCAGGGTTCTGCTTATACCAGCTCCCAGCAGGTTCTCCTGGAGCCCAGGAAGCCTTCAGTCCTGTTTCCATGGCTCCTTGGTCTCCCTACACAGCTGCTCTATCTTGCTACTTCCTAAGAATTGCCTCAGCCTCATTCAGCTCATGGGAGATAAAGCCACTGACCCCTCTTGTTGGCCTCTCCCCAGCCTGTAGAGTTTAAGGCCTGCAAGTGTTGTTGAACAGACAAACACTAGCTCTTCTACTTTGCACTTAGCACAGGAGTAAACTGGTCAGCAGGGTTTTAGAAAAGGCCTGGATCAACCAAAATCAAGAACGTCCTTTCAGAGCAATTAAGATGTTACCTCTGTTTCCCCTAACAGTCCGATCTATAGTGCTTCCAAATTTTGTTAGTGATTGCTTTGCCAGACCTTTCTAAGAGGACTAGGTGCCTCCTCTGGGCCAGATACATTGCTGGGCATTGTTTAGCAAAGGGATGAACTGGAAAGAGGAAAGTTCTGGGGATCCTGCCTCAAGGTGCTTACAGCCCAGTGAGGGAGACAAGACCAGCAGGGGGAAGACAGACTCAATTAACCTCAGCTTAACCTCAGTACCCCTCAGTCATTCTTAGGCACATTCCCTTGTCAAGGCCTCAGCTCTATCTTCACATTTCCCTGGGCCACATTCCAAACTTCCTTCAGCTCCCTACCATGTTCCTGCCCCTCCCCTCTCCCTGCTTGGAACAACCTCTCCTCCTACTTCCCTGAGAAAACAGAGGCCTTCAAGCATGAATTACCTCAGTGCCCTGCCCCAACCCCTGAAAATTGGCCTGCCTCTCTGACTTCCTTCCCCTCCAGCCCTCCCTTCTCAGGGGACAAGGTGCCCCTCTAGTTAAAGGCTAATCCCTTCGCCTGGGCCTTGGCTGTATCCACCTTCCTTCTCTAGTCCCTTTCTCTGGACGTTTGTTATGCTCCTTCTCTTCAGGAAAGTTCAGCTTCTCTATACCAGCTCTCTCCCTAACAATGAAATGCCTGTTTCTGTTATTTCCCCCAAACAAGCATCCAAACAAGCACCCTCCTCCCCAGATGTGTTCTCTTGCTCCCCTAACTTGCTTTCTGTCTCTTAATTTCTTTTTCTCCCTCCTTCCTTTCCTTTCTCTTTTATTTCCTACAACCTCAAATTTGTTGAAAGTAATCTACATGCTAGACTTCACTTTTCTCAGCTTCCCATTCACACCTCAACCAGAAACAATTTGGCCCCAACCCCATTATCTCAGTGAAAGAGCACTGCCAAAGGTCACCAATGAACTCCTAATTGCCAAATTTGATGACCTCTTTGAACTCTGGATGGCAAAAGACACTGTTGGCCAAGTCCTCATTTCTGAAACTCTGCTTTCTCTTTTGGCCTCCAGGATCATGCTTTTTTCCTCCAGCCCCTGGAACCATTTCTTGTGGTCTCTTTTTCTGGCCTTTATTCCTCTGCCCATTCCTCAGATCAGTGGTTCTCACATGACAGTCCACAGCTCAAGCTGATATACAGTAGTGTTTCCACAGCCAAATGAGAAAAACTGCCGGGAGAGTTTTTCAATAATACACACTTATTCAATTATAAAGGACTGTCCTTTGTTCTGAGATTATACCCTTCCTATATCTTGGTAGTAAAATGTTTTCTCTTTTTTAAAATGATGGCAATGGTGGATGTTAGTTTATTTCTTTAGTGTTTTTATTTGACAAAATAAAATGTTCGTTTCTCCATGTCAGTCTCATAAATGTTTATTGAATGAATGAGAGTTATATTTCCCCATGAAATTTCCCCAATGGGTATTTCAAACTCATCCCCAAACTGAACCGTTTTGCTTTCCCACAAACCTCCTCTAATACCTATCTTGGTAACCAGCATCATATTGATGGTGGCTAAAGCCCTCAGCCACCAAGCCCTGTTGATCTGAGTCTTCACTATTTCTCACTTGTCTTCTCCATGCTCCCTGCTCTCCATGCTTCCCGTTCTCCATGCTCCCCAGTCTCCATGCTTCTCACTCTCCCAGTTGTTCCTTTGCTTATGGCCTCATCTGTCCTCTCTCACCTGAATGCTCAAAACAGCTTCCTGATGGGTTCCCTTGTGTCCTTTCCAACCCATTCTCCTCACAGCTGCCAAGGTGAACTTTCTAAAACACATGACTGAGAGTAGTCTTCTTCTGCGTAAAATATTTCAGTGCCTGTAGGAAATGTTCAGATTCTTTTGTGTGGCAGTTGAAGCCCTTTGTCCTCTGGACCCAGACTGGTCTTCACTCTTGTCTCCCGAGCCCTCCACATGCATCCACTGCAGCCTTCCTTGAGCCTATTCCCATTCTGGAAGCAGGACATTCACCTATGATCTTCTCAGGGTTTAGGGCCTCTGATGGTCCTAAAGCCACTCTATACAGGATTTATCACAGAAGAGGAAAGACTCAGGGTCATTCTTGGGGCAGTGGTTTTCAAACTTGGGGTCACAC